AGAGCACTCTCCAAGGAGGGGACACTTCAGAGTTCACGGGTTTTGAAACTAAGATCATATTTTACTAAGCAAATATGAAAATCAGTTTCAGAACTTATTTTTACAGAATTCATATGGTGTAGAATGAACTTATAGAGAAGCTGCTCTGAAAGCCTTTTGTCTGAAAAGGGCTCCTATGGAAAAAGCTCTTTGATTGCCTTGGACGAGATATTATAAAAAAAAATTGTGAATGTCAGGAAGCACAAAGTTAGTATAGAATTAAATTACTTAAACATAATGCAGACTTTTTTTTTCAGGAGCAAACCCAGCTATTTTCATACAAGTTTTCCCACAGCCACAAAAGCAGATTAGAGATCCAGGAGCTGAGCCAAGTGTTGCAACTGTGTGCTGTCCCAGACTTGTAAAGGCAAAGCAGGTATTGCATACTGTACGCATGTGCTATATTGTCTTAAGAGTAACTGAAGTGCAGAGCAGAGGAGGGAGCAGGAAGGAACCGAAGTTCTAAACAGGCCAAAATCCTTAACGTCAGTATTTCTGAAGTATTTACCTCACAGCAAATCTTTACTCACACGTGCTCATTGAGATGTAAACATTTACATCACTGACAATCCAAAGTACTTTTGTCTACATTATTGTGATTATTAACATGAAATGTATTTGATTTTATAAGGCACTGTATAGACAGAATCGTAGTTGATTCACCTACATGGGAAACATGGCAATCCTCATCCCCTGTTAGTTATACCAATATCATAGTGGTTAATCCAGTGTTAGCAACTCCAGTTGATGAAACTGTTATCATCTGGCAGCCATAGTGCTGCACTAGCTCAGCTGGTTTCACACCGCTATAGAAACAGTATGCCAGTTCGTAGCTTCTCAGACGAGTTCAATTGTGCTCAACTTGTAGAGGGAGCAGACTAAAGAAACTAGTGATACAAAGTTTAAGAGGTTGCATGATTTAGAATCCCTTCCCATTTATCTGGGAACACTGCAGAAGAGAGGATTCGTTCTGTTCCTGACCTAACAGAGGAACACATGTTTCTAAGGCATCGGACCGAGACAATGGAAAGTCAAATCCTTAATTCATCAGCTTGCCAACTTGCCAAACCTCAGCTGCCTGTGATGTCTACACAGATGAAAGCAGTCAGATAAGTAAATGCAAAGAAGTAAAATTATTTGCCTGCAGATGAGAGATTGTAGAAGATTTTATTCATCCTTCTTGATTTTTCCTATTACTTAGCTGCCGAGACATAAATTAACATTTGATGCTGCTGTGGTTTGTGCAACTCATCTGTAGCACAAAAGTCAAACTCTTAGTTTCCACCTCAGAGAATCAGATCTGAAGTCTGTCTAAGAAGAATATGCCTCCATCTGATCTTTACTAGCCTAAGCACCAGCTGTCTCCAAGCTCTTCTCATGCTTTTTTTAAGAAAGTCTGAAGAGGTTTTGACATCATTGTAATCATGAAATGAGAAATGTTGATCCCCCTAAGCAAAACAAAACAAACCAAAAAAACCAAAAAAAACCAAAAAAACCCCACAAACAAAAAAAAAAAACACCACCCAAACCAAACCCAGACTGAGTTTTGCTGAGTAAAACATAGACACTTCTGCTGGCGTGTTCTTTAAATTGAGTATTCAAGATGTAAATCTGCATCTCTTGGATGGAACGCTTGGCCTAAGTGTCAACACACACAGATTCTTTACCCTGCAAGGTGACTCGCTTTGTTTCTTTTGCTGACTCCCTGCCACTTGCAGATTCTTTCCCAGTATGCTTCCACAGGAAAATACCGAAAAGAGCTCAGGATTTTCCACCACTGACCATTGGCAGTACTTTTGAAAACAAATTAGTAAACCAATCTTTTACATGCCAGAACTAAAATCCAATAACCTTAGACCTTCCCAGAGACCTGTTTTTTAGCTACCATTTAAATTCAGAGTGGGACCAAGCTGAAGTTCCAGAAACGAATGCCACATCTGAGCATTCTGACTGACGATGGCACTCGTAGCAGGCTCTATATGCTCAAACTTTGGGGTAAGTGTTGGTGAGTATAGGAACAGTTTGACGGTCATGCACATGTAGGTTCTAGTTAAAGCAGGAGCCCTAATCTTTAAGCTCCTCTTGCTCACTTGTTTGTGGGAAATATCCCAACAAACTTATGATGCTAACAAAGAAATCCAAATTTCTCAAGACTGCTTGAGAAAGAAGACTACATGCACCCATATTTTTTGTATGCTTATTCCCATAAACCCTGGGTATTTTGTATGCTTATTCACAATATTGACTGTCAATGGTACTTGGTTAAAATGATTACTGCACACAGCATGGCTAACTTTTAAATGTAAATTGTATGCAAATATATGCAATGCCATCTTTAATGCAGATGTAGCAAGAAGTATTTAGATGTGCAGGACCTAATTAGGTCCTACATCAAAAACTATATATAAAAACTTGACTCCAAAGTCTCAGCAAAATAAATTTGAGCTAGAAATCCCAGTGTACCCTCCTAGGGAAGCAGGGAGAGTA